CCTGAAAACCTGGGCTTAAGTTTTTATGAGCCCTGGCCCAGAGCCAGACTTGACAAAGCCTGGTCACTCGGTCCACTTCTATAAGTGTCCTCACCTGTGAAGTGGGAAGGTGGGACTACATATGCATGACCACAAGGCCAGGTAAGGTACTTCACCTCCTGCAAAGAGGTTCAAAAGGCAGCTGCCCTGGTGACTGGATGAGAGGGGGCCGGAGAGAGGCTTCTGTCACTCCTGTTCCCTCCGGACGCAAGCAGGCGTGTCCCTCATTCCCTGAGGAGTGGGACACAGGCTGCCATGGCCCCCTGGCATCCTAGGGAGTCTGAGGGTGAGGGATGTGCGGGGCTGGGGGCGCCATTCTCATGCCCCATTCTGGGCCACCCTGAGTTTACTTGTGGGGGATTCCCCAGGAGACCATGGCACCTTCCCTGGTGGCTCAGACAGTAAAGACTCCACCTGCAATGTAGGAGACCTGGGTTCAATCCCTGGGTCGGGAAGGTTCCCCTGAAAAAGGGAATGGCAACCCACTTCAGGACTCTTGCCTGGAGAATCCCATGGAAAGAGAAGCCTCTCAGGTTACAGTCCATGAGGTCGAAGAGAGTCGGACAAGCCTGAGGGACTAACACTCTCACTTATGAAGAGGCACCTCAGAAGGCCCTGAGGGCTCTGCCCTGCTGATCCAGGCCTCTGCCTGGCCAGAGTGCCATTCCTCCAGCACTGAGGGGCTTTACACTTCTCTGGGAGAGAGGAAATCTTGCAAGCACAGCAGATGCCCTGTGGGCAGGCACAGCCTGTGAGCCAGAAGGTTCTGTCAGGGAAGGCCGAGGCCCACGGGCTCGGGCCCCTCCCCTCCCCCACCCAGCAACACCAGGCTTTCCCTTGAACCCCTCCCACCTGGCCCGGAGCAGCCCCGCACATGGACCGGGCCCAGCTGTACACACATGGCCTTCACATGAGGCGGCGGGGAGGGCCCCACGCAGCTGGGCTGGTGGCATGTGGCCTGACCATCTGCCCTGCATACCCACCCCCCACCCTCCTGCCAGGGGGCCTCTCTCTCCCCCACCTGCACTTCTATGGCCAGGCAGCCTCCTACCCCGTTCCTTCCCTGGTTGAGAATATGGCGGGTTGGACAAAACAGGAGACTGGCGAGCTTCCCTGTGCTGGGGGTGGACAGCTCCAGGGCGATCACCAGGCTGGTAGGAGTCTGAGCCTTGGAGCAACTCACTGACTGATTTGAATCCAGATTCTGCAATGAGAGCAGCATATGCACCCTGGAGTCTAGTGAATGGCAAGTCAGGGAGATGTGCAGTGCAAAACCCATGAGGCCTGATGTGGCAGCCAAAGGCTGGGAGACCGCCACCAATTTACAGAAGCTCTTTGAACCTCAGTCTCACCATCTGTGAAATGGGGGTGGGACGGGGGTGGGGATGGGACAACACCTATTTCGTTAAATGAACTAATACACATAGCACACTTAGCCCAGGACCCAGTACAAAGGATAGCAAGAACAACAAACCAGTCAAGCCTAAAGGAAATCAACCTTAAGTGTTCATTGGAAGGACTGATGCTGAAGCTGAAGCTCTAATATTTTGGCCACCTGATGGCAAAGAGTCATCGGAAAAGACCCTGATGCTGGGAAAGATTGAGGGCAGGAGGAGGAGGGAGTGACAGAGGATGAGATGGTTGGATAGAATCACCGACTCAACAGACATGAGTTTGAGCAAACTCCCAGAGATAGCAAAGGACAGGGAAGCCTGGCATGCTACAGTTCATGGGGTCACAAGGAGTTGGACGTGACTGAGTGACTGAACCCAGTTGCTTTGATTGCTGCCACAGATAGATGGCAGTTTCTATGATTGTTAAGAAAATGATTATAGCATTCTTATTTCTACATCTGCTAAGTCCTGTGCCCAGCATTGAGGACACTGTGGATGTTCAAGAAAGGTTCATTCCTCCTACGGCCTCCCTTTCTTTCTTCACTCGATGTTTGCAAAGAAGCTGTGTATGAGGTAAGCTTTATCACCATTTCCCAGTTTCATTAGCTGAGGCTCAGAGAGAAAGTGACTTGTCCAAGGTCACACAAGAGGCATACAGCAGAGACAGGACTCAAATGCTGGCCTCCAGACTCCCTGCTCATACTCACTGTTCCAGGAAGTTGCTCAGGGAAACAGAACTCCAGACCAGAGTCACAGTCCCACCACGGACCTCAGCGCTGCAAGGGCCAAGGTCTCATTTCAGGCAGAACCAGACTCTCACCTTTCGCTTCTTTCGCAAGGACCCATTTCCGATAGTCAAGCCTGAGGCTAGATCCAAGGGCTTCCCTGGTAGCTCAGTTGGTAAAGAATCTGCCTGCAGTGCAGGAGACCTGGCTTCGATCCCTAGGTCGGGAAAATCCCCTGGAGAAGGAAATGGCAATCCACTCCAGTATTCTTACCTGGAAAAATCCTATGGACAGAGGAACCTGGAGGGGTACTGCCCATGGGGTCGCAACAGTCGGACACGACTTAGTGACTAAACCACCACCACCAAGCCTAAATCCAGAGCCACAGCCTGTCTGGACAGGGGCACGCACATGGGTGTGTGTGTGTGTGTGTGTGTGTGTGTATACACATGCACACCTTCTACAGGAGAGAAACTGAGGTCCAGAGGAGGTAGGAGTGCCTCCAGGACACAGGACTTTCCCCATAAGACAGTGGCTGTGTGATGTGGACGTGGTGAGTGTGGCCTCCTGGGCCCTGGGCTCTGGGGACCAGAAGTGCCCTAGTGATTTCTTTTGCTCCCAGATAACAGACAGGTGCCTACCAGCAGCCTTTCTGGGGGAAGGACAGATGCTACGGGCCAGGAGGGCAACAAACAAGAGTGGATGTCTCTGTCCAAGCACTTGGTGTGTGCCTAAGAGCACGGGTACTGATTGTGTGTGTACACACCGCTGTTTGTACCTGTGTGTGTGCACGCACTCTCTCCCTGAATTTGTCCGTTTTCTACAGAACTTTCCCACCAGAAGGGCAGAAGTGATAGGAAAGCAGGATTAACAATCCTGTCTCAGAGAGTCAGGCTTGTGTCTGCCCTTCTTCCAGCTACAAATGACACTGCAAGTCCGGCTGGGGGGCCCATGACACTGGTACATCCAATACTGTGAGAAGCATTTGGCCGGGCGGGCATTCTAGAAATTTCTATCATCTTTCCTAACCCACTAGGTGATTTGGGAAGAGTCCCCTTCCTTCTTTCTCCAGGCCCCAGTTTTACATTCCATTAAGTGGAAAGTTAATCCAACTGACAGGGATGTTAAGATCAGGTAAGATAGAATTTATTACTAAAAGAAGTTAAAGCCACTGGACAAATGAGATGCAGTTGAGTACACAAGACTATGAATATTTTCTCAGCATTGAAAGAGGCAGCTGGAGGAGTAAAAAGAACCCGGAGCTGGCAGTCAGAGGGCCTGGGTGCCAGCCCCGTCCTGCTGCTCACCAGTTGTGATGCTCTGGGCACCTGACCTCCCCAATCTGAGCGGGTTTTCCTAGCTTCAAGGTGAGCAGGTGGACAGCCATCTCTCTGTCATCTCAGCCTTCCATCCTGAGGGGCAGGTAGCAGGCTGCTACCTGAAGGTGAGACTGAATTCTCCACTTGGCCCACTGCCCAGGGTCCCAACTGTCTGTGACAGCTATCTGACCCCTCCACTCCACTCCACTTCACTGACCAATCAGCTCACCCATTCCCAAGTGAGACACTTTGGCTCAAAAGTCATGGAGCCTCTTTTCCCAGGAGTTCAATTTCTCTCCCAGGGATGAATACAGGCACTGCCTGACCCACTCACAGGAGGAAGCAGAGAGAGTGTGATCCAAAAATATCATATTTTCTGAAATTCTTTGTTACTGGCTAAAGCCCAGAGAGGGTGAGTAACTTTCCTGAAGTCACACAGGAAGTCCGCGGCAGAGCAAGCAGAAATCCTGACCATTCAAACAAATCACACCCACCTACCCCCTCAACCTTCCCCATGCCCTGTGTGAGGTGGAGGCAGAGGGCACTTACCACTCACTTCTTAGATCTCTCTTTGCTCTATGAAAATGAACAGTCTAGAACTCCTGGGCAGTCTCAATCTTGTCTAAGTGGAATTGTAAAACTGCCACTCCCCACTACAGGGAATTCTTGGGCAAATATTCCTCCCCATCCCCCCAAGAAGACAGTGTCTGGTGAGGACAGCTGCCACCTGCTCTAAACTAAGAAGCCCCTAACCCACTCCAGAACTAGTTTCTGAAGATCCCCTATCAACCAGTTCCCCGCTCAGCCGACCTGCCTCTTCCATGTGAGCTGAAGGTCAGCAATAAAGGGGACTCTCCAGGAAAGACTCTCTCCAGCCAATTCCCAGGGAAGGGTTATAGCCAGCGTCCTTAAGGACACCGAGGTGGGGCAGGGGCGGGGGGAGGTGTTGCAGGGTGTGTAGGCAACCTGAGGGCGGGGACAACCCTGCCGGGAGGCGGGGACTAAAAAGGGGTTGACAGGCTCCCCCAGAAGGCGGAACATTTATATTCTGGCAAAACCAGGACCACCCCTCAGCAGCACTCCGGGTCTGCCAGAAAAAGGGTCTTCGCCCTTACCCACCGGAGACAGATTCCCACATTTCCCCTCTCCAATCCTCACGGCGCCCAAGGGCCTCCGGGAGACAAATATTCGCTGCCATAAAAGTGAACTATGAGGGCTGAAGTCAGACTCGCAGACAGGGTCACCCCAAAGGGGATGAAGTGGCAGTAAAGAAGGCCAGAGATCTCGAACCTTCATCCCCACTTTGCAAACTAAGACCCACACCAAAATGTGGCAAAGGTCTCTGCGCCGGGCGGTCCCATACCTGTCTCGGCGCTGGGACCGACCGGGCGGGAATTACTTGCCCTTTAATCCACACCCTCACCCTCCTTAAAGTCCCACCACCCCGCCCGCCCCGCCACTTGCCCACCCACTCCCGCAGCCATCCCCACGCGCAGCGAGGATGTGTGACTGGGAGCCGGTACCTGCTTCCTGAGCGCCTCGAAGGCTGCGCTGATGGTGTGCACCCGCGTCCGCTCCCTGGCGTTCGCCAGGAGCCTCCGGGTCTGCTGCAGGGCTTTGATCTCCGAGGAGGCGGCGGTAGCTTCGCCCGGCCGTTTCCTAGGCGACGCGGAGGAATCCGGGTGGTTATTGTAAATTACGTGTGAAATTGACGAGTAAGAACTTTCCCCAGGGCGCGTGGGGGGCGCGGGGCGCACCGGGGGCTCTGGGGGCGCCGGGGGCGCCGACGGCGTGGGGCGTGCTGGCGGTGCGCACAGCAAGATGCGGGGACGCAGGCCCGGCTCCCGGAAAGGTTGTGTCTCGGGACCCCCAGGTACCTGGCCCTGGGGCGCAGGAGGCGGCGGCGGCGGAGGCGGCGTGGGGAGTCCCGGCCCCACTGCGCCCAGGGCGAAGCCGCGTTTCCGCGCGTCCAAGACCTCCGGCGCCCGGGCGCCCCCGCGCTCCCCGGCCGTGTCCGCGCCCCCACCTGAGGGAACGGCCGGCGCCACCCGGGCTGGCACCGGGGTCGGGACTGGCTGCAGCCGCTGGGTTCTGTCCCGCAGCCCGTTGGTGGCGGTGGCGCCGCGCTCGGGCGCTTCCAAGTCCAATCGGAAAGTTTTATAGCCGTTCGCGCGCCGCGCCGGCTCCTTGCCTTTCCTCTTGAGCTTCTTGAGGCCGTTCAGCTCCTTCACGCACACGGTCTTCCAGGGCCCGTCCTGGAGAACCGGGATGTGCTTCATGGCGCGGGTAGCGCGCGAGGCAGCGGCGTGGGGCTGCCCGGGAAGCGCGCCCGCCTGCCCCGGCGGCCGCCGCGCTCAGCGCCTCGGAGTCGCCAGCTCTCCCCCTGCTCGCTCGCTCCCTCCCTCCCTCCTCCCTTTCTCCCCCTCGCCCCGGGGCAGCTGCGCCGCCGGGCTGTCCGTTCCCGGAGCGCTCAGAGTGTCATCTGAAGTCGCTGCCGCCGTGCCAGCGTTTCTGGAGAACGCCCGCTGCGCTCCATCTGTGTTTGTTTAGCCTCAGTTTACACAGAAGCCCGGTTCCCCAGATCAGTCAGCGCCGCCGCCTCCCCAGCCCCGGCCGCCCGAGCCGCGAGCGCCTTTAAAGAAACAGGAAGCATTTTTCAAAACAGCTGGGCTGCCGGCCGCCTCCTTTGTCCGCGTCCTCTCTGCCTCCCCCCACCCCCAGCCCTTCTGCCCAGAACCTGCCTCCTCCGACTCTCCCTCCCCGCCCCCTCCTCAAGTCCCGGGCGCTTCTCTTTTCCCGCAGGACAGTCTGCTCCCGAGCACATGGCTTCTGGGCCCTTGGGCCCTTCCCCAAATCGGAGCTAGGCCTTCTTCTCTCGGTGACCTTCCTCACCCAGCACCTCCACGTCCTCCCCCCAACCCTACCCCAGCTTGAAAGGCGAGAAAGAAACTGTATGGCGACTTCTTCTGGAAGAGGGTGAGGTCGTGGCGGAGTGGGGGGGGGGGGGGGGGGGTTGCTGAGAGGAGGAGGAAGGCTCTGGGGTTGCCCAAGATCCTCAGGCCCCCCTGCACCGCAGTCCCATTCGCTGGGTCACTCGCTGGAGCAAAGGGGAACCAGGAGCAGAAAGCCTAAGCGACAGGGAAACTGAGGCTCCAAAAAGGAATGGGCTTTTCCCACGGTCACGCAGCGAGTTTAAAGAGGCCGATCAGGGGGGAAGCTTCGGATTTCGATGCAGCATCTGTGAGAGTCTGAAGTCATCTCACCCCAGGCTGCCCGTTAAGCCCGGATTTACTCATCTATGAAATGAGAAATTCGGAGAACATCAACGCCTAAATCACAGCATGGCTGTGAGAAATTAAGCCCCAGGCACATGGGAGGGACCAGTCCGATGGAAGCTTTGGTTATTACTACTATTAATAACAGAGGCAGAATAGTTCCTAGAGGCAGATTTCCTGGCCGGCTCTGCCACTGACAAACTGAGGAACACTGGGCAAGTCACTGAACCTCCCTGTGCTTCCCTTTCCTCATCTGTAAAATGGAAGTAACAGTTGCGTCTCCAGGACTGTTGTGAAAGTTAACTGACCCTGTATGTACAAAGCGTTCAGAGCAGCCTGGTGCAAAGTGAGAGCTTTGCAGGTGCCTGCCATTATTGGCAGGGGACAGAGATTGACTTCCCAGATCCTTGGTCCTCAGGGCCATTCTACTGGAGATTTTGGGCAGGGGAGTGGGAACGTCAAACTAGTTGGCCCTCACTAAGACCTCCCACCCCCCCCACTCCCCCACCCCAGAGGCTGCCCCAAGGACCAGCGCATACTCCTCAAAGGCCCTTTCTCTATAGCAGTTTCTCCTTAAGGTGGTGATGGGTGCTTTAAGTAGTTTGGGAAAAGATCGACCTTGGCCTGGGGCTCTGACCTCTGCAGCCGCTGGAATCCTTATCTTTCTGGTTTCAGTCCTTCACTCCCACTCCTACACCGACCAAACTCAGTGGGGGTTTTCTTCAGGGTTCATCTGGAGTGCCTTCTCTCTCTCTCTAAGGGTGTGAGGAGGTAGATGACTCCGTGGCCTGTGTCATGCAGTGTCCTGGAAGGTAGCAGAGGGGTCCAAGCAGAAAGTTCAGGGTCAGGAGCACAGACTGTGCTTGGCTTTTTCAACTCTCAAGGCCTGTGACCCTGGACAAGACAGTTCATCCCACTGGAGTTCTGAATCTGTCCTTGAGGGTGACATTTCTATGCAGCCAACCTCTCAAGGTGGTTGGGGAAATAAAAAGAGATCACAGACTTAAGAGGACTTTGACATCAGACTTTGACATCAAACATACCGTCATGTCTGCATACACATAGGAACACATACACATGGAAGCATGCAGTTTTTTGACTATGGCTGGCTGAAACACAGTACATATGTGCTTAGTCGTGTCCGACTCTTTGCCACCCCATGGACTGTAGCCTGCCAGGCTCCTCTGTCCATGGAATTCTCCAGGCAGGAATATCGGAGTGGGTTGCCATTTCCTCCTCAAGGACATCTTCCCAGGGATCGAACCCCAGGGATCGAACCCCTTGTCTCTTATGTCTCCTGCATTGGCAGGTGGGTTCTTTACCACTAGCGCCACCTGGGAATAGTAAATGCAAAACCTCATTTTTTCCCCACAGGGAATTGGTCCCAGCATGATAAAGTGATTGCTTCCTGAGGCACCCGCTTCCCTGGACACCCAGCATCTTCCCATAGCTTACCTCTCTCCTGAAGACCAAGGGTAAGCCCCAGAGAGGAGCCCCCATTCCCCTGCTTTCCCCCCACCAGCCCCACACCCGTCGAAGAGAACATTCTTCTCGCTCTTGGATGACTGGCTTCAGTCTCCTCTCTGTAAACCTTGGCTGGTCATCACAGCGCCCTGTCACTCTTACTGGCCTCTGCTCACTCCCAAGAATTGCTGCAGCTTGTCCTCCACTGAAGTCCTGTCTGAACCCCTAGGTTTGTGAGGTCCTGAAACACCACTGTTTCTGGGACTTCTCTGATGGTCCAGTGGTTAGGACCCTGTGCTTTCACTGCAGGGGGCCTGAGTTCCATCCCTGGTCAGGGAACTAAGATCCACAAGCTGCTCTTTCCTTCCTCCCTGTCTTCCAGGAAACCTTTGCTGAAGCCCTCACTCCAGTATTCTTGTCTGGATAATCCCATGGACAGAGGAGCCTGGAGGGCTACAGTCCATGGGGTCGCAAAGAGTCGGACCTGACTGAGCGACTCACACTGCCTTTCACTGTCATGCCGTTTACATTTGCCAGCTCCCAAACAGAGTCTGAGACCCCAGCTAACCCACTCCTCACACATCTAGCCAGTCAGTGGCAGAGATGGGGGGAAAGCCAAGTCCTCCTCCCCAGAACTGCCGAGTTCCCCTCTGAACCTCAGTTTCCTCCTCTGTAAAATGGGGATCATAATATTGTCTCCCAGAACTGGCATGAGGTTTGAGTGAGACTGCATGTATAACAGTGAGCTGGAGTGACAGTGGCCTCAGGCCTCTGGGTTGGTGCAGCTGCCCAGACTCCTTGCATCGCAGCATCTGCCTCCCGTCTTGGAGTGCACTTGCAGGCCGGAGGTGTCCATAGCTAGTTGGAGCATGTGGAAGTCTTGTAGCAGGACTGAAAACTGTCCCTAAAGAGGCCAGCATGGGCTCCAGGAAAATCACCTGCCTTTGTTGAATATCAAAAGCTCCACTCATACTGATCCTGAGCCTGTCACCAACTCTCTCAAAACAGGGGAGAAGGTCACTGTTCCCCATGGGAACAGGGGAGGAGAAGGGAGTGGATTGGAGTGGTCAGCTGCGCTGGGCAGAGGTGGAACAGGACTCAAACCCAGCAGGTCTTCCAGGACACGCTCCTTCCCCCCTGCCATGCTGCCTCTCCCGTGGGCCCAGGGGTTGGCATCAGGCTAACATAGGAGGAATCTGCTTTGCCACTTACCAGCTGTGTGGCCTTGAGCAGCCCCTTCACCTCTCTGAACTGTAGTTTGTTATCTGGGCATTACTTCCTTAGTCATAAGATGGAATGCCATGTACCAGAACTGGAGGGCCCAAGTGATGTGAAGGGTCCCTGTTATTGTGATTCTCAGCCCTACAAGTGGCAGACCTCCAAAGTCCAGGCTAACTGCCCAAGGTCCCCCAGCTTAAGGGCAAACCTGCCACCCAGGGCTCACTTCCCTTAGTCTCCTGGAAAAGTGGAGGGAGACCAGCCTGCTAGTGCCCTCTGGTGGTGTGATACAGTCTGGACTACACACAGCACAGCCAACTCCCCACAAGAATTTAGAGCGCAGGACTAAAGTGAAGTCACTCCATCATATCCAACTCTTTGTGACCCCACGGTTCCTCCACCCATGGGGTTTTCCAGGCAAGAATACTGGAGTGGGTTGCCATTTCCTTCTCCAAGAGATCTTCCCGACCCAGGGATTGAACCCTAGTCTCCTGCATTGTACGCAGACACTTTACTGTCTGAGCCACCAGGACTGGTAACCCTGAAATGAGAGTAAGATAGATTTTGTGAATTCATAGAAATGCCAGTGTAAAGGCTTTCAGGGCTCCAAGTGGTCTCACACCCTGCTTGGAATGGGGCAAGACACACACCCCTAGAAAACCTATGTGCGCGCATGCTCAATCTCTTAGTGGTGTCTGACTCTTTGCGAACCCATAGACAGTAGCCTGCCAAGCTCCTCTGTCCATGGAATTTTCCAGGCAAGAATACTGGAGTGGGTTGTCATTTCCTCCTCCGGGGGATCTTCCCGACCGAGGGATCAAACCCATGTCTCTTCCATCTCCTGCATTAGCACTTAGAGTGTTTACCTCTGAGCCACCTGGAAGTCCTACATTAAAAACAACCACTAGGAGGTTCCACATCCTCTGTATGGCTGATCCAGGGAATAGGAATGAAGCTATAAAGGGACGTGAAGGCAAGAGCTTAGGGCTTGGGTCACTGGGAACAAATTGTCAAAAGCCAGGCAGTAATGCCACTGCACTGGGAGTGAATATAGGCTCTATTTCTATATAGGCTTAATTTCCTTATAACAACCCAGGGAAGTAAACCCATTGTACAGATAAGGAAACTGAGGTTCCTAGACCAAAAAGAAAAAAACTTGCCAATGGAAAAAAATAACAGAAGTGAGATTTGAACCCTGGCCAACTGACCCCAAAACTCAAGCTTTGAACCACTGTGTTTTGTGGCCTCCTGAGACCTCAGTGACCAGCATCTGAACAGGCGAGTCACTGGGCCACCTACAGGGCTGGCCTCTCTGGCTGGCCACACTGGCCT